CGCTGCTTGCCCTGGACCCAAAGTTGTCCTTCATCGAAGACCGCATCCTCGGTCGGACCGCACCAACGACAACGCCTCACGATGACATCAACTTCACTCTCCCGAAAGACCTCACCTCGCTAAAGAATGCAGTTGAAGAAGCAGACCTCCCTTGTACCTGCGACGAATGCGCCCCCAAACTCTACAAAATCAGCACTCTAGCCTCCCATGGCATGATAGAAGACCGGCGGAACCGACCCTCACAGACACAATCCAAGCACAACCGGTCGTTTTCCTACCAGAATGACAAAAAGACAATCGGTCTTGGACCGCAACTCACACTCAGATTCCATGGCACCTACGAAACAATGACATTAGTACGGCATCACATCGCTTGGTTGGACGCAACGTATCTGCATCCATCCGCACGCCCTACGCCATCTGTACACCACCTCCGCAGCCTGATAGCGACCTGGCATCCGCACATCACGTCATCTGATCTCCGAAGCTCCCTCTCGACAAGTCAACTAAGCGACCTTTTTACGCATCTGAACCGTATTTTCTTCTCGGATCAAGTACCGCCGCATAACAAGACGTTAAGCGCGGGGTTCAGCTATCTGGATTCAAGACAGACCGAATGTTTTGGCAAGAGTTTCTACAACCCGTTAGTCGGGACACAGGTGCTTTTACATCCGGTGCTGTACCGCGGGTGCTTTCAATACCAGAATCTCGGTCATCACGATAGTCTCGACCCTACCATACAGCGACGGCAACAACAGCAAATATCAACACGTCTGCACAACCGCCTTGGGACTCTCCTCCATGAAATGTGTCACGCGTTTCTCAAAGCATACACGTGTCGTTCTTGCTCGATGCACGATTCTTGTATCGGACCGCTAGGCCATGGACGCGCGTGGCAGATACTGGCGAAGAAGATTGAGCAGGTTGCTACTGTAGTTTTAGGAGGGACGGTAGACATGGGGAGGTTTCCTAGTCTGCTGAGAGATTGTGAGGGGAGTGGACGGTTGCCTAGTGTGCATGATTTGGAGGTTTTTGGGATGAACGGTGGCGGGTGTGCGAGTGGGGTAGGGTTAGGAATTACAGGGATTAGAGGAGGAGGAGGAGGAGGAGGAGGAGGAGGAGGAGAGAAGATGACGATAAGGACTGTTGAGTAGGGATGACGAGGAAAGATGTGTATCGAGTATTGTATGATTGTGCAGCATTAGATTACGACCTTTTTTAGACCGCCTGTATAGCTTTAGTAATGATACCCTTCGATTTTGATAACAAGTGTTGCCCACAAGCTGCTATGCCACTTTCTTCAAGGAGAGACAACATGACTACTATCTTCTGTGTATCCGATATGGATGAGATTGGAGGTTGTCAATCCTGAGACTCTCATAAAGGCGCAGTGTGCTTGGTTGTCTAGGTCATACACATCAAGTGAAGTACTTTGCACGTCGACACAGTACGTTAAGATGACCTGCGGTAATGACTGCGGTTGAGAATCTTAGAAGACGATAAGCAAGGGTACGTCGCCCATCTTTGGATTGGTGTGCGAATTTGCTGACACGGAGAGGAGCTCTAGTGAGAGATGGCACTATGGTATCGTAGTACTATAGCACTATGAGAGGATGCCCGTTGTCTATCGGCGATAGCAGACCATGTTACCTAATGACGTATAACACAGGTAGAAACAGCGTACCAGATGTGCTCTCTTTGTATCATTTCCTACACACACACACACTGGACCGTATGTTTCAATCGGGATGCCCGACGTATGCAACAGGCGTAGTATAGAGTGAGATTTGGCGATCCAGTAAGACCGTATGGTACATCCAGCGTTCAGGAACGTCTTCAGCTTCGTCTGATTGAACGCTCGCTCTCGGGGAGCCCGAGGACGGCACTGCTAGTTTCCTAGTGACATTCACAGCTGGTGCATCCAAAACTGTCTCTAATGGCCTTGTTTCAGCAGGTTAGTACCGCAACCATACTTCACAGCTTGTCCATGCCCTCATACAGTACACGAGTCCCTGCTATAGGCCAGTTGCGATGGGTTCGTTCAGCCCCCGATCACGGCAGGCATCGGCGACGCCGGGCTAAGGCAGAAGAATCTGAGGAGATAGTAGTCGGCAGGAAAGGATTGTATCACACGCCGATGCTCCAATTGGATGACTGTATCTCTCGATCCAACTACATCTAAGAAATCTTAAACCGATGGAAGTAAAGTCGGCGAAATGGTATATGGTATATTCCGTTGAAGATTATCTAAGTAGCTGTTTAGCGATAGTAAGACGTATGGCTCTAGGGCCAGTACCTTGATTTGCAATGTTCACCGGATGAGACAGTCTCAAGTTTGAGAAGTGAGATTGTCGAACGTGGTTTTGGTCAGCTCGGACAGAGCGATTCACCGTCACATGCTGTACTGTAGTAGTCTAGAAGAAGACTGTGAGATACATAATCAAGCTATGGCTAGAACATGATGCTCATGATTCGTTGCATTGACCGACGCAGGGACTGTTACTAACGGGGAAGTCGGAGTAGATCCAAGATTCAGGAGAGTGCGAAATTGGGGGTTGCAGCTCAAACAGGAACGCTCGTTCCGGTGGAGGCCTAAAATGTCTTCCGCTGTCGGGTTGTCAGCCAAACGGTGGCCAATCACAAGCGTCGCCCCCCAGAGCTTCGGGTACCTCAAACTGTGGCTTCGCTGGGTTAATGCAAGAGTCAGCCACGTCTGACGGGAGAGCACCCTGATCCCCAATCGAACCATCAAGGGTCCCATTCCGCATCTGGGGTGGATCCACACGGTGGCGAATGCCCCCCAAGGACGAAGGGCCGAAATTAGGGAATTATTCGCATGTAACGTCGAGGCGGATACTACCCAAGGCTCTTTTAGCGCCATGGTCCCTACGGTTCGGAATATTGGATATAGGGAATAAGAAAAAGGAGCCTTGCGATAGGAGAGAACAAGACAAAAAGCAGTAGCGAGTTGCTAGAGCGATGATCCGTCGTGGCATGTCCCGGCACGTGGTTTCACCAAACGCGTGGATGACCCATTGTTCAAACTTCGAAGCAGTGTGCGTGGGGTACTAAGGGTCATGTGTACACTACGTGTTATTACCAGGTGCTCCCTACAGCTGAAGCCATCTAACAATGCCGATCGGTTCGTTGAGTGCGCCCAGCGGCGATAGTGAGCAGCTCTAGCGGCGCAAGGCATGGGAATAACGATAGCTCGACACGTAGTTCGACGCTGGGGGTTTCCGGGAAAAGTCAAGATCCACTATCAAGAAGCGGCGTCTTTGCACGTTCTGCCTGTCCTTCTGGATCGAGGACTAGACGCAGCAGACTGCGCAATTGTGGAACTGTGGGAGAAAAGTCGGCAGCCAGTCGATGTTTGCCGATCCCTTGTCGAGATTGTGGCATCGAATCAAGTGTCGAATGGGAGGTGCAGCGGGCTTTTGGGCTGTGCAGGTGTGCTTGGAGGCTTCGAGAAGGCCGCCCTTGGTGTTCGCTTGCAGCTGCCCTCACTCAGCCCTGACTTCTGCCGTCATGTAAGCCGGGAGTGAGGATGAAAACACGGCAGTTTGGGGGCGCCTGACGACTTGCGTCAATTTGCAGCAAATGCCATAGTTTCCTGATGGACTTCTGCCACGCAATAAGAAAGGAGTATAGCCAGGGAATGGAGATGAGTCGATGAGCTAGGCCGGGATATTAATCCTACTCGAGTGGAGCGGTTGAGGAATGAGGAGTGCAGCGCCAACGGCAAGTGCCTGCTAACCAGAAGCACGGTAAACCTGGCCCCGGCGCCCTAGTCTCGCCTTAGTCGAGCGCCCCCAAGCCGCGGAACGCCATGGGCAACGCCTTATAGCATCCTTCGCCGCCGTCATTTGGGACTGTTTGGATCACATTTGCGACTCTCGTCTTCACAGCCAGATCAACACAATGGCCATGTTTCGCGACTTCTCCTTCGACCAGGCGTCGTCTCCCGACTACTCACTCTACGAGGCCGAACGGGCAGCCATGAATGTGTCGCCCACGTCACCAGCCATGGACCCGCATTACTCGGCAAATCGGCCACCCACTCCACCATGCACCATGGGCGACCTCGCCGTGCAACTCAACCAGCAAAGCCTCCGCATCGATACCAATACCAACACCCGCTGCTATCCTCCTGCCCCCCTCACTCCAGCGAGCGATGATGACGAGTGCGCCCCATCCACCAAGCAAGAACAGCAGGCGCGACCAACCTACTCGCGCATCGCAGCTTCCGTCCTGAGGATGCAACGTCAACAAAACTCGCGCATGCAGTGCAGCCCATCGCACGCTCGCGATCTCTCCAAGCTGGTCAAGATGATCGAGGAGGAGCAGCAATGCACCGTCAATGAGCCGTCGTCGCGGACAAGCTCCACATCGTCAACATCTACATGCCCACTGGTCCCTTCAAAAGACGACGAGGGCGTCGACATGGACTACGACGCTCCCGCGCAAGCCGCTGAGGGACTCTTCAGCATGCCAGTATGGAGAGCAGGCGACCGTCGCGACAGCTGCGTTCGCGTCACCAGACCTGTGCGCATGCGAAAGCGGTCCAAGGGCAACGGCGTATGCAAGAGGACGTCATCATAATTTTTGTTTTAGTCGGATTTTGGTTACATGCATAGCGACGGCGTTTATGGGGTGTCACTACGGGCGCATTATACCACTTGATCTTGCTGGAAGAGCTCCCTGCGGGTTGAGCCTGGCGTTATAGGGTGCGACAGGCTTAGCGCTGTTGGTACACCCGTATACTTTGTAATAACAAATCTGATCAAGATGCAAACTACTCTTCCGCCCTACCTTGTTACTGTGACTATCGTCCCGACCCAGCACACTGTTTCCCACGAGACGCATGTTCCGTGAACCTGAGCATTGGTAAATTGGTGACCCACTTGATTGTCGCTGATCCCAAGTAAATTCGTGCCGCATCCGTCCCACCTACAAACACAAACACAACCACCACCACCACCACCACCACCACCACCATCATGTCTGCACGCCGAGCGCTGGCACTGCGCTCCATCCACTTGCGCATAGTACCACGTCCTGCCAACCTATCCGAGAGTCGCGAGATATTCCGCGTGCTGCAGGGTTTTGGAGAAATCAGCACCTACCAGAGCCTACGGGTACGTCTTCCTCGCACACCATGGCTGCTTCTTCTGAGCGATTACTCATGTCAGTCTTAGTATGAGTACCAGAATCCTGCAGACAACGCCGCCTTCGCCATCTACCGCCACGAATCCTCCGCCCAGAGCGCTCTCGATGCCTCACCCATTCGCTTCGCCCTCGAAACATCTACGGCCACCGAAGACAACACCAGCACCCAATCCCACTACACCGGCGAAGAAGACCAAGAAGATGCGTCAACCGACCACATGCCCCAAAAAGCAGGCATCGACGAAATTCTCCGCCCCTCCCAGCTCCTAAACCGAACCTCTGCTGAAACCCACCGGTCCACTCCGTCAGCGCCACCCAAACCAATGCCCTTCGACCCACCACCCGCCTCCCCAAAACAAAAGAAATGGACAAAATGGTTTCAGGTCACTGTTGATCGTACGCGCGCGGTCCATCAAGATTTCATCGAGCGGCAGCCGTATTGGAAACAGTTCAGCCCTATGAGGAGCATGGCACAGGCTGATTTGGAGAAAAAGGTGCCGCATATTGGGTTGAGCGATATCAGCAAGAGGCCGCCGAATGCGTATCGGACACCTACCAGGGTGCTGAAGACTATGAACCAGTATGTCGAGACGGCCATGCCAACTTTGAGGGGGGTTGCTGAGGGGAGCGAGAACGAGAGGGCGTATCTGGAGAGGCAGGAGAGGAGGGTTTGAGATGGAAACAACAGACTACCGAGTCTACCACAATCGAACCTCGAACGCTGGCTATAACCCCGTCTCCCAACCATACGTATCGATCCAGACCACAAAGACTCGAGTCTTCCAGCATACCTCCACCGATCCGGGACAACAATCGGACGCTATACATGCAGCGCGGCTCTTCGACAAAACAACAATGTGGAAATTTGCAACTACATGAACCCAAACGCTCATAGAGCATACGTCTCCGCCTACACACTGCCTTCTCTGACATTGCTCAGGAGACCTTCCGACCTGCCTAGATCGACTGGAGTTCCGAGCAGTCACTCAGCATTTTCCTCAGTCGTCTTGACAGCCTTTTGGAAGAGCCACACATGTCGATAAGTACCATGGAATCGCATCGGACAATTGCGAATACTTTCGCCCATGAATGCTTATATCATGAGCCGTAGCAGAGCATCCAGCCGCTCAGCATCTGGATAAGAGCTGCGCAATTCCAACTCCCTGATCTGGTCCATCTCAGGGGCCTCTCGACCAGCCTGTTCCGCTGCTCATGGAATGGTTTCATGACACCTTCTTCAACTTGACCGTGTTCTTTACAGGTCGTGTAAAGAAGGCATCCGCTAGCCACACAGCTACGTAGCTACTATAGCTTTGTAGAGGCGGTTAGAGTTAGCACGGACTAACAGATCCGATATGCAATATTCGTACGTTGCGGACAAGGTGTATACAGTATGTAGGTGTCGGGCTTACGTTTGCGGCACATGCGAGAAGGCGGATTCTGTGCCACCTGATCTTGAAGTCCAGAGAGTGCTCGTCGAACATGTTCGGGCTGGGACAACGGTCTGAGATTTGAAGCGCGCTGATAGTAGAAGGCACCAAACGCTCAAGATATGAATGCAACACCTAATAGTTGTTTAGCTCAACGACGCCTGCTGCGCATTTTACATCCATCGGACCCAAACAACAACACATCTGACAATGTTAGCCCTCTATGCTAACCGTACCAAAGCCCATCTTTTCTCACAAGGATCACACAAATCCGTAGACCTCCAAATCATGCATGCTCGGGCGGTTGAATCCAGTTGCCTGATTCGTCATATCCGCAAAAATGCCATTTATCCTCCCAAGGTCCAGCGTCAATCCCAGCAGCTGTGGACATCTCTCTTCAATAGCCATCGCCAGCTTCTGAAACGCGCGACCATGATCGGCAAGATTACTGTTCGAAGTCTTGCACATCCGACAACATAGGCTCTTGAGCACAGCATGGATCAGCTCGTGAAATAACGTAGAAAGACGTTGCAGCGCCAGTGACTCGGTTCGATTGAGAGACCGTAAGGTGACTTCTGTTTGTTGCGTCGGATGCATCGTGATGCGTTCAAGAACCAGATCATCGCGAAGTGTTGTCTGAGTATACCCTAGCCAACCCCTCTCCTCACAGACGTCGAAGTCCCAGAAAAACTCGAGTTCAATTTGCGCTCCGAGAAAGAAGATGGACAACAGTCGCGTGCACAGTGTTCTCATCCTGTCAACAGGAAACGCGACTCTCGCATCAGGAGAGCCGAGCTCCTTGAGAAGATACTACCTATTCTCCCGCATTTCCTTCAGAGCTACTTGCTGCTCGAAATTCATTTCATTGTATGGCCTACCAAAAAACTTGGTCGCGCTATCGACGAGATGGAGCGCCTCGTATGGCCTTCTCACGGAATCGGCGATGATTTCGGGCTTTTCATTTGGCAGAATAGGTATCTGGTCTCGACGATGGTCGATGACAGCGCAAGAGTATGGAAAGTTGAAGTAAGACTCTTGTGAACACTTGTTGCTATCGCAGGTACATGGACCGCAGAACAAATGGTTTAATGACTTTTTGTAGAAGAAGTCTCTCCTAGGATCCGTCATTATGTCTCCTATTGAAGGCAACCGGCCTGGAGCTACAGTTGTTGGATCGGTAGTGCCGGACAAAGTGGGTGTTGAGAAGTCATTCAGAGAAGCAACGCCATTCTGATCTACGCTCATGGTGAAAGTTTTAGTAGCCGACAAGGTAGTAAAGAGTAAGCTTCTTTCTGTCCCTTATCATCAAAGCATTGTTTGTCGTTTCCTTTCGCTTCAGTCATCTTACCCTTGCTGCTGAGCGGCAATTGATTGCATGTGATTCTGCCCATAAAGCTCACGGGATTAAATTCCCACAGCTGGGGGTTATTTGCTCTATATAGTAGGACCTCTAAGCTTATATCGGTTACTATGCTTGTTCTTACTAAGCTTTCCACGAAGAAGACGTGGCTCGGTTGGGCGAACACGGGAGAGCATAGTAAGGGATCGCAAGGTCTGTGAACTGGTTCGCCGTTCACAAATTTCATCTTTCGCCTAACTTGTGTCGTTTTGAGGCCATTGTTCATGATTGAGAGTATATGTAGATCTAGCCCACAGGGATGAGGCAAAGAAGCTGTGAGCCTAGATGGCGATAAGATGCATAAGGAAGTCGCGTTGGTCTGAGATGCTGCGAGTACTGTTGGCTACGTTTTTACTATTACTGGACGTGATCTAGTTATGTCGAACTTACTGTATTACCTCCACCAGGTACTGTGAAGTATCGTACCATCATTTGTGACATTTTGAGGAACTGAGACTGATAGGTTTGTGTATTCATGGCTGCGAACGGCTTTCCCAGCCAGGAGTAGAGGAATTCGCAGCCCCAAGTTTACCTAATGAAACAGTGCTCGCACGAAACTCGTTCAGATCAGTGAGTGCAGCATTGTCTCATGAATCTAGGCTGATTTCACATGCCTAAAACGTATTGCAGTGTTTCATGTTATACAAGACTTCTCTGGCCGAGCAATATAAAGAGTAGCCACGCAAGACTGTTGCGAGTAGCGAGAAAACCACAACCAGTGATTCTGGTAGCCTTTCTAAACAAGAACATAGACAACCAAAATGTGCCGAAAAGTCCCTCATATGTACAAGCTTGTGGATCCACAGAATCTCGAACCTGCTCCTAGCACACCGGAGGAATTCATTGATATGATTCGAGATCATCACAAGAAAAATCCTGGGGAACGATTTGGCAGTAAGAAACAGGGAATATGTACAAACTCATGCAACAACATCATCAAGCCACAACATCGAGCGCGCATATCCTTACGTACGGCCGGTCACCATGCTTTTCGACTTTGTGACGAGGTCAAGCGTAGGATGGAACTGGGCTTTGATGATTTCAGCTCCGAACAATGGCAAGCCCACAATCTGTTCAAATCACTGGTTGAGGATAAATCAGACAAAGCCCTGTTGAAGAGGCTAGGAAAGACAGATGGAAGACAAGTCTCGCAAGATGAGATGAAGCTGCTGATCAAGACCTTCTCAACGATTTTCTTCCCAACTACGCCGTCGGACGTTCAGATGGAACTGGACTTCCAGTGGGAGGATTGGAGAAACACGCCAGGTGAAATCGGTTTATACTGCACCAATGGTACCGACATGCCTTGGATCAGCATGTGTGCTTTTAACGTTGACAAGGAAGTACTGAGCTACGGTCATCTGAATGGCTTAGCTATGGACCGTCTGTCCACAATCCTTCACGAGATTGTGCATGCATATTTGGATCGTTACGCCTGCCGTTGTATTGGGGTGTTCGGATCGTTTGAGGAGAGTGTTAATCAACTAAGTGGACATGCATGGGCGTGGCAACGGATAACAAGTTCTGTGGAACGCGCTGCCCCTGACCTCACTGGTCTCCCTATCAGTCTAGAACGGTTTAGAATTATCCAGGGCTGTTGGGACAAATTCAGATATTGGCCGACTCAACAGGAAGTTAAGGACTGGCAGTTGTAAAGTCATGAGGCCTATGGGTAGGCTGCGTCAAAGTGGAGGTCGGAATAGTTGCTGTCATGATGAAGTCGCAGTTGAAGTTGTATGCCATGAGTAGGAGAATCAATGAAGTGCTGTATTCGAGGTTTGATCAAAGGCATCCGTTTTCGACCGCGATGCCGATGGAACAACTCGATAACTCTGGATATCTGTGATGTTAGGATTGGTGTAGTTATCGAGAAGGAAGTAACAATGATGAAAGTCTTACGACAGAACACTACTAGCGCGTTGGCCGGATCAGCAACTATGATAGACTATCCACGTGGCAAGTCGCAAGCAGCTAACAGAGACCACTATGTCACCGCACATTGAGAACAAGGAGCTATCTCATCTTTCAATCTAGTACCTAACGTTAATGAGTACAACAAGCATGAGTTGCCAGTGCTGGAACGAGATAGATCGCGTAGCCAACCAGATGCCTTCCGACCCAGAAGACGAAGGGTGGGCCCAAGGGTACACGAAGCGAAAAACACTTCAAGGGTGGCCGCCTAGATGCTACGATGAAGGCGTGCTGCGACGTGCGCATGATCACCGAGTGCAGCTGCCATGGGCCGATTTTATAATCCGTTCAGTCCTCGCCGATCCACAGTCGCAGTTGCAGAGACCATACCTGGACCTACCGCAGAGGAGCCACCGCCAGACGACCACACAACGGCGACACGAAGCCATCACGCACCTCACCCCTCAGTCGGTACGATTCCAGACAGGCTTGATGACATACGAGACTATGTGCGTGGTGTCAGCACCTATATCCATTGGTTTCAAAGCCTCACTGAACACGAACGATCAAATGTCGCGCGAGTTACGGAGGTCAAGCGCGAGTTGAAGCTTGCACACCGAAATCTAGAGAAGCTTGATGCTGACATGTACTGCGAACTTGGGGACGAGACCGAGGCGCTGGTTAAAGATGCCATGAGACATGCTTGGCGGTCGTACAGAAGCGTGGTGAAGCTCGAAGAAAAGTTGAGAGGTTCAAACGACGGCAGTGATTCCGGTGTGAAGTTGCGTAGGATATCGGGACCGCAGAATGAACGGAACACATCGACGGATCATGGAAAAGTCGAAGCATACACCCGCAGCGATACGACGGAGGTAAAGCAAGCGCTCTACGAGGCCCTTGATGTGCGACAGCAACCTGCCGAAGGCAACCGCGATGAAAATCCATACCTTATGTCTGGTGAGAGATGTCCCTATACAAACTAGATATGAGACATATACTGACTTTGTATACCCACATTCCAGGTGCTCTTCCGGTCGAGGATAGGTCTCCGCAGATCGAAGTTCAGAGAGCAGGGCGAGCTCATGCTTTTGAAGCGCTGAGGCAGTTACCGCATCTCCTTGCCCACGGAGCGCCGTCACAATGCTCAGAAAGCCTCCACCTACCTGCAACGAATCCCCAAAAGATCCCACAGCCCAGAGACGAAGTCAAGGTTCGAGTTCAAGAGGAAGAGGCCAACACGGACTCTGTCCTGCGCAACCCATACAAAGTGCGACGAGGCAGCTGCAACGGCTTCATGATTACAGAGATGACGATGCATGCGATCGAGGATACTCGCTTCGTTTTGCCTTACCTGCACTACATGAAGGTCCATGAGCTGCGAGCCATCAAGGAATGGCTGGGTAATGCGGGGTTCATTGTGAGCTCTGGTTCAATGAGGTAAGCCATGACTGTACGAGATGTATACAAGATATACGCTGACTTCACATCTCCACCTCAATAGTCGCACGGAAAAGGCCCTACTCTGCATACAGCTCCTACAGACTGGCTGTCGATACGAAACGTTGGCCGTGATCCACTCGCGTTCACCACACGAGGTCATGGAGTCGTGCAACGAAGTCATGCGAGCTTTGTTGAAATGGCATCGTATGACAGTTGATGATGATGACATAGGGAACCAGGCCAAGTATATTGTTCTCTGGGGCATCTGGCATAAGTACACCGTCTCGGATGGAAAGGCAGGAGAATACTTTGGGTTCGACTGGACGTGTCTTGCCAAAGTTCTGGTGTCACTCAACGTGTACATGGGCCGCTGGCGTATGCAGGGCAAGTTTGCCATGGACGGTCCGGCGTTCGCATGGGGCAAGTTCTTCGTGCCGAACGACAGCAGGTGCGTCGTAGATACGAGAGACGGGGACCAAGGAGGGCGTAATGACGCCGAGACGAGTTCCTTTTACGCTGTGGCTCGGCGGGGTAGGCTGAGAGAAAGCACAGACGGGTGAAAGACTCTTTTTGGCACGGTCAAACGGCCTCTTCCCTCAGGTCGCAACACGGCAGTTCGGCTCGTAAAGAGTGGCGCATAATCCGACGATAGTGGGCCACGATGATCGCGGAGCCGGTAAAAGGATGCGCACATCCATTAAGCGTTCAAGATTTCATCTCCACATCGTATCGCTATCGCAGCGGTATCTCAATGCTCGGCGGCACCAGTGGCGTACAGAGCAAGCCGTCGCCTCAAAGGGTCGCAGCGCAGAGTGCCTGGTGTTTCACAATCTCCCTTGGCTCCCGGCCTGGCGCAAAGCCACCCGCGGTGTGCAGACACGAACGGGAAGGTCGCAAATGCGGTTGGGCGCATCGTCTGCGACCATCGAGGTTAATCGAGCGCGATTGACGGCAGTTGAGGCGGGAATAACATTACATGATCAAATGAAATCGAAGACAATAGTAAACAAGTCATCTATGGCACAAAGCGTTCAGGAGAGTCGCTATTCTCGGCGATCGACAAGCGCCGTTTGTAGTTTAAGGTCCGTCGACCAATAGCGATCCGTAGGGAGCATTCGTGCACTAGACGACTCCTTAAATCTTCTTGCAGGGCTGCACCCAATTGCTCTTCACCACCGAGTCTCTAAAACGCGGTCCTGACGCTCCTTTGCACGACTTTCCCCTCGTTTTCCTTTTCTCGTCGCGAGAATCCACTCTTTACTTAACCCTCACTATCCCAGTCACTCCTTGCTACACCCACCTACAGCGCGTCTGGTCTACGCGCGAATCACACTCTTTCAGTACTCATAGTGCTTACATAGCGACATAATCCGCCGAGATGAAGTCATTCGCCCTTCCCACGGCTGCACTTATCGCAGGCCTTATCTCTACGACTACTGCGCAAACCCATACCAACTGTATGTGACGTGTGGCGCATTGCCTGCGACTGATATACTGATGCATCGACACAGGCTACCCTCTCAACACCACAGGATGTCCAGACATGGAGGCGCTCGGCGGAAACGTCACCTTCAACTGGAACAAGACTGGCATCCCGAACGATGACAAGGTCTGGAAGATGCCTAACCAGGGCAAGATCGACTGGGTCGAGAAGGGTGCAACCTTCACCATTGAGCGATCGGGCGACTCCCCCACAGCGAACTCGGTGTTCTACATGCTCTTTGGTCGCCTCGAGATTGTCATGAAGGTGGCCACGGGCACGGGTATCATCTCCAGTGCTATCCTGCAGTCCGAGGCGCTCGATGAGATCGACTGGGAGTTCCGTGGCGACGACAAGATGATCTTGACCAACTACTTCGGCAAGGGTGACACGACGACCTACGATCGCGGAAAAGACTTCGACCAAGGCTTCAACCCACAGGACGACTTCCACAACTACACTATCGACTGGAGAAAGGAACGCATCGAGTGGTATGTCGACGACAAACTGGTCAGGACACTCACCCCCAGTGAGGCTAAAGATGGAACACGGTACCCGCAAACGCCCATGAACGTCCGCCTTGGTGCATGGGCTGCTGGTGACCCCAACAAGAACGACCCTGGTGTTGTCGAGTGGGCTGGTGGCAAGACAGACTTTACCAAGGGACCATACACCATGACGATCCAGTCTGTCTACGCGCAAGACTACACAAGCGGCGCTGCGAAGTACTCATGGGCTGACATGGATTCGTCTGGTGACTGGGAGAAGGTCAAGGTCATCGAGTATGTTTCTTCGCGCTCCTATGCCAATATGATGTGAGACTAACAAAGGCTAGGGGAAAATCCGAGGTGCTCGAAGAGATCCAGTCTCCCCACGGTGTCAAGAACCGATTTGAAACCCTTTCCAAGGGCGCCAAGATTGGCATCATTGCTGGTGTCCTCGGAGCTGTAGCAATTGGCGCAGCTGTCTTCCTGTTCTGCTGCATCAAGAAGCGTCGCGAAGGCAAGAGAGAGCACCAGGCTCTCCTCGCTGAGGAGCAAAAGGAGGCTGCGGAGCTCAGCGAGTACAAGGCTCAGATGCAAGCCGGCAGGTTTGCCATGGGGTCCAACAACCGCGTCTAAGGCTCATTGCGAGAGGAGATGTTGGAGTTGCGGATATACAATCTCTTTAATAGGATGGGGTTTTTTCCTTGCAGCTGGAAGGCAGCTTGTTGAATAGAGGCTGTTGTTCCCTTGTTATGTCAGTGTTACGATCAGTTGTTTTTTTGTTTCATGCATGCTTTATATACCCTTGCGCTGCTTTCGTCGACCAAGGCTATACTGTAGTGCCTAGTTTGCAATATACCACGACTTGATGTCGCGCGGTTAAGAAGATTGCGTCTCTGTGGCGTGCTAGTGAAAATGAGCTCTGAGTTAGTGTTGGTTGGCATGTGACGCATGCTTCTCCGCAAACCCCGGACACACGGCATGCATCGGCTAACTTTAAGCTGCCTCGGCATGTGAGCGGTCCGCCGTGTCTGATGTGAAAGACATGCCACACTCGTTCTTTCTGCTTTGACACAATACTGCAAAAATGGCATCCTTCTCACGATCACTAAGACCCCTCACCCGCGTTGCTACTGCCTCATCGCGTTCGCTGCGACCGGCAGCCCGCGCCGCCCCGCAGTATGTTCATGCACCCACCATCAAGGCGAATGAATATATTAATGCTAACATGACGACTCGCCAGACTACGATGCCTCTCCACGACTGCCGTCCGCCGGGAAGCCATTGACATCTCAGATGTCCCACCGACGCCCATAACCCACCTCTCCGAGACGGAAATGCTCATGGGCGAATCCGTCTCCAAGTTCGCCAACGATGTCATCCTACCCAAGGCGCGAGACATGGACGAAGCCGAGTCGATGGACCCTGCAGTAGTCGAGCAACTCTTCGAGCAAGGCCTCATGGGTATTGAGATTCCCGAGGAATACGGTGGCTCAGGCATGAACTTCACATCGGCCATTATCGCCATCGAGGAGCTGGCGCGTGTCGACCCCAGTGTCAGTGTCATGTGCGATGTCCACAACACACTCGTCAACACTGCAATTCTCAAATATGGATCCGAGAAGATCAAGAAGGAGTGGCTGCCCAAGCTGGCCACAAACACAGTCGGCTCCTTTTGTCTCTCAGAACCCGTGTCAGGATCCGACGCCTTTGCGCTCGCCACCAAAGCCACACGAACCGACAATGGATACAAGATCAGCGGTAGCAAGATGTGGATAACGAACAGTGTCGAAGCCAACTTCTTCATTGTCTTCGCCAACCTCGACCCTAGCAAGAAGTACAAGGGTATTACTGCCTTCATTGTAGAGAAGGGCACACCGGGTTTCTCCATTGCAAAGAAGGAGAAGAAGCTTGGCATCAAAGCCAGCAGTACCTGCGTCATCAACTTTGACGACGTTGAAATTCCCAAGGATAACCTGCTTGGCAAGGAATTTGAGGGCTACAAGTACGCCATTGCGCTGTTGAACGAGGGCCGCATCGGTATCGCAGCGCAAATGACTGGCCTTGCGCTCGGCGCCTGGGAAAACGCCGCAGGGTGAGTACACTCGTTACCTATAGACATGTCGGACCAAGTACTAACAGCCCCAGCTACGTGTGGAACGACCGCAAGCAGTTTGGTCAACTCGTCGGCGAGTTCCAGGGTATGCAACATCAGCTCGCCCAGGCCTGGACAGAGATCCAAGCCGCTCGCGCCCTTGTCTACAATGCTGCGCGCAAGAAGGAAGCTGGCGAGGACTTCATCATGGACGCTGCCATGGCTAAGCTCATGTCATCGCAGGTTGCAGGACGTGTATCCGGACAGGCAATCGAATGGATGGGTGGCATGGGCTTCGTCAGAGAGGGGCTTGCGGAGAAATACTTCAGGGACAGCAAGATTGGTGCCATCTACGAAGGAACCAGCAACATTCAGTTGACTACTATTGGCAAGCACCTGCAGAAGAAGTATACCAAATAGATGATGAAACAATAAAAAGTATAGCATGATTGATGCACGTCGTCGTCATTTCCAGAAGCACAAGATCGAGTAGCAAGGCGGCGCTCGCGATGTCGATATTCAGAAGCAATATAGTTGTTGTTGCTTTGTGCTCACAAATATTGGAGCACTTATAGGCCGACGCGATGAAGCAGATCGTGGACTCGTTTAACGATCCTGGGACGATCGCAGCGGGGGATGCATCATTACCTCATGCACCGCAAGCAGCCTAGCGCAGACAGCAGCCACTCTCGATCTTGACATCGCTGCCATTGGGACACGGCTTGTTCATATGCCCTACGAGTCAAGCCACGCGTTCACATGCGACTTGTCACCCGTTCTGTGCCCGCGCGCATCCGCAGTTGGTGAGCAAGAAGCATGGCCATTGCACTGAAGACGATACCGTGGAAGACACCTTCCGGAGGGGCATGTCTCCCCACTATCGACCCACCGTCGGCGCCGCCTGGGAAGATCCATGCTACCCAAGTGCGCCAACGCTCGCGACCGGAAAATATCGCAAGAACCATGGTATGCCCTCCACTGACGGTCGGAGCTGCTCCAGCGTCATAATTCACCCTGGTGCGACGGCTGTTGCCCATCCCGTCCTCGAAGCCTGAGGCGCGTGTCTCGTCGTGTCAGCCCAAACCCAAACTTCACACGTCGTCTATAGAGTCTATAGCCGCATCCGAATCCTACACACTCTCTCTTGCATCCTTATCATACCCCTGTTTTTCTTTCTCAGGCCCGCAATCTCGCGTGACAGTGGCCCACTACCCAACTCTCCTTTAGCCCGTTCCGTCACAGTTGCCCAGCGCCAACGCAATCCGGCGGTTGCAGCAGTTCCCCAGCCACATTGCATACAGAGTTTTGATCATCCTCTGGCGCACGTCGCGTTCTGGTCACCTCATGGTCGCATAACCCACCGCCCACCATGGCGTCTGGCTCCAAGGCTAAGGACCAGGACCGTCCAAGTGCCAACGGGCGCATACATTCTGGCCTGGAGAACATCCTGCCAGCAAGCTTCCTCGATATGCAAAAGTGCGCTGGCGACTTCCCCAAGGAGAGCAAGTCGATATCGTCTCCACGCTCTCGGCCGTCTTCTACCCCACTCTCCAGCTTGTCGCGTTCTGTATCGTCCATGACCGACAGCTTCATGCTAGAACACTGGGGTCCCTCTTCTTCAAAGTCCACGCGACCTGAACACGATGGCAGGGACAGCACAGAGGCTCCACCCAAGGAGGAGGACGCGCCTACTGTTATATCCAATTGGGCGCATCTATCCTATATAAAATCCCAGCGGAACACGCTTCGCGCCGAACTCAAGGCTCACCAGGTTGCCGGAGCTGAGGCAAAGCGGTCTGTTTCCTCTTTGCGACGTCTTGCCTTCCGCATGGCCGTAAATATATCTGTCAAGGAGAAGCAGATTGCAACTACAGCGCGGAACCTGGCCAAGAGTAGGACAAGTAACTACCTGGAGGGCAAAGATGCACAGAAGCGAGTGGAGGAATTGAAGAGGGCGTTGAGAGTTGAAGAAGGACGGAACAAAGAGATCCTTGAGGCATTGGAGAGGGCCTCTATGCTGACGCTCCAATGTAAGTATACTACATCCAGGTACTGTCTTTTGCTGATTAATTGTGCAGATTCGTCTCCCAAATCTGAACCTCAACATCAACCTAGAGGTCTGTTCATCTCACCACCTGCATCTCCGCCGACGCAATCAAGTGTCTTTGACAGTCCTACCCTTGCGCCGAGGACTCCGACGCGAGCGTCTCCCTCGCCATGGCACGATCTAGATCTCGAGCTCACCCCTCGCTTGTCGAGTCCTTCCGAGATACGTACTTCTGACAGTCGCTTAATACGAGCGAAACGCGAATCCGACCAAGCTCTTGCTGCTTGTCGAAGCCGCATTGAGCAGCTACAACGTGAATGTGCAGCAAGTAAGGAAGATGCCGGGCTTCTAGAAGCGACAAGAGAAGGTCTAGAACAAGAGATCCAAAGTCATCAATCCCGCATTGCTGCTTTGGAGCGTTCGAGATCTGCGATACAAGAAATATTGGAGTCGACCAAGGCGCAACTGAACATTACAGTAGGCTCAGAGGAGAAACTGAAGCAGGATTTGCAGGCTAAATGTGCTGAAATTGCAGATTGGGAGCAGAAGGGTGGGGACATGCAGCACACGATCGAAGCGCTGCAAAAGGAAAAGGTAGATCTGGATGACCGCCTCGGCACACGGAATGCTCAGATTAGGGAACTTGAGATTCGCACAACAACTCTGGAGGAAACACTACATTCTTTGCAGAATAAGGTGGAGATTACTGATCGCCACGAATCGTCGTTGCAAGACCGTCTCGCAGAAAAGGAAAGCGCACGCCAAGACCTGAGCAAGCGACTTGACCGAGGACTGGAACATATTGCACGTCTAGAGCAGAAGATTACTGAGTACGAAAAGGACGAGGCTGAGCACCTACGTAAAATCGAGATCGGTGGAGGTGTTATCTCTACGCTGCGCGAGCAGCTCCATGATTCGCAAACCACGAGCAAGAACACTGAAGACGCATTGACGGCTCTAAAGAAGGAAGTGGAGCAGGTCCAAGCCAATTTGCGGGCTGAGAGCGATGCGAGTAAAGACTTGACTGCAGAGCTTGAGGCTATGCGAACCGAGAAGGCCGATATTTATAATGAATTGCGTGCCACGTCAGAGAACCTTAAGCGAGAGACCGAATCGAAGACCAACCTCCAAACCGAGCTAGGAGATCTGCGTGCCTCTTACGACGCTATCACGAAAGAATTGCAACAAGTTTCCAAGCGCACTCAATCATTGGAGACGTCTAATGCTAGTAACCAGGCCAAGTTAGAGAAACTCCACGACGAAAAGGCATCGCTTGAAGCCGATCTCAAAGATGCCCGACAATTGCTCTTTAGACTCCGCGAAGATGTACGGATGCGAGATGCCGAGCTTGCTGACCTACAGTCTGTCAAGTCGAAGTTGCAACAAAAACTTCAGACGTCAGAAGAGCGAGTGTCGCACCTGGAGCAGGAGTTGAACCAAGTACAAGTGTCAAAGCAAGTAGCTGATGAGCAACATGCAGTCGAGATCCAGAAG